ATCGGAGAGCTCCAGGCGCTGGTGGAGGGCTCGATGACTCCTTCGGCTTCCATCTTTTGGACCTCTTGGTCGATCACGGCTTGCATGGCCGGATTACGGGGCCGATATCGTTGTTTAATGGGCGGCCCCGGTTTTAGCCGAATTTGGTGCGTGGCTTTGTCGGTCGGGCCGCGGACCGATTCGAACTTTGGAAGTTCGTTATTTAGAAAGGCCTGTAGCCTTAGCGCCTCGCTGGTAGTTCCTGGGCTGATACTGGCTGTCGCGATTCCATCTTTGGTTGTTGTCTCGGTGACAGGTCTGGGCGGCGGGCGCAGCTCGACTCCTAATTTCGCCCAGAGGTCTATGCCTATTAGTACGGCGTTGTCTAGTTGTGGTAGTACGGAGAAGCGGTGGCGGTACGATTTTCCTCGTAACCTGACCGTTGCTTCGATGGTCTCGGCAATGGGGACTTGCGTCCCGTCGGCCAGGCGTATCTGGGCTGCCTTGAGATCTGGGCTAGACGGTGTGCGGTTGATTCGGCGGGCCGTTTCAGCGTTTACGAATGAGATCTCTGAGCCGGAATCGAGGAGGCCCCACAAATGTTGTCCGGCGATCTGGATCCGGAGGTGCGGTCTCGGGTTGTATTTTAGGCCGAGTCGGGCTGGACGACGGCCGCGACGTCTCCGGCCCGCACCCCGTTTCCCGTCGGGGGGTGGCAGTCACGGGTGAGGACCCCGTCCTTGCCACATCTCGAGCAGAATTTCTTCGGAGGTCGCTGGCAGTGCAGGCGTGTATGTCCTCGTTGCTTGCACCTCCAGCAACATTCCTCCCGACTGTAGACCGCGGAAGCTACGACCGGGGTGTGGCTTTGCGGCACGTCCCTTCGTCGTTCCTGTCTCCGGCGGTCGGCCTCTTCGTATTCGGTGGCTCGGATGCTCAGATCCCCGACGCTGAGCACGTCCGCCCGACGGATGTACAATTGGTACTCCGGATCCATGTTTTCGTAGAGCTGTTCCAGTTGGTCTAGGGGTGAATATCCCCCGGCGCGCCGCATCATGGTCAGGACCTCGGTGGCGTACTTTTGGAAGGACTCTTTAGGGCGTTGTTGACGTCCCTGGATCGTCCTTTTCATCTGTCTCTCATACCCGCTTGGCAGGTATTGCTGGCGGACAGCTTGGCGAAAGTCGGCCCAGCTGGCTATGGTATCGCGGATGTTGCGATACCACAGCAGGGCGTCTCCCCGTAAGAGTTCGGGTAGCCCTAACAGCATCTGGGCGTCGGTGTAGCCGTAGCCCAGGCACAGCTCTTCCGTACGCTCGAGGAATGCCAGGGGGTCCTTGCCCTCGAAGTGGCACCCCCATTTTCGGATCTGATCCATGATCCTGGCCGGTTCAACAGGTGTCGGGGTGGTAGCTTCTTCGTCTTTGGTTGGGCTTCCGGTGGCCATTTCGACGTTGATAGTGGGCACAGGTAGGTGAGTTCGAAATAGCGCGGGGTTTTGCCCGACAAATCGGCGGAGGCGTCGGCGGACCTCGTCTAAAGTTCCTTGGCTATCGATTCCGTGTCTTTTGGCCAAGGCAATAGCTTCGGATTTTGATAATTGATTTACCCACGCGGGCATCTGGATAGGCTTAAGCGAGTCGGGATCTCCACTGGGCAGGTCCCTGTTCGGGCGCCATGTAACGGTTCACCTTTCCCGACGCCGCGGATCGGCTCGCCGGTTCCAGGATTCGGGAGGAAGGGGGAGATTCAGACTCGCTTATTCCTTATTAACAATGCTTTGGTTTATTCAAAAAGAAACAAGTAAACAAAATGATTGTTGGCATAAAGCCTAATAGAGAAACTTATTGACTACTCGGTATAAACGAAATGTTTGTTGGCATAAAGCCCTAAATAGAGAAACTTATTGACTACTCGGTATAAACAAAATAAGGAGGCGTATAGCCTGTAGCGGTGTCCGGAAAAGATTTACAAATTACCCGGTATAACTTAGAGATACGGTGTACGGAGGCGTATAGCCTATAGCAGGAAGAAACCGGAAACCGGGAAACCCGGCGTAATGACGAGAAACCCGTCACCCGGTGTATAGCAGGAAGAGACCGGAAACCGGGAAACCCGGCGTAACAACGAGAAACCCGTTGCCCGGCGTGTAGCAGGAAGAGACCGGAAACCGGGAAACCCGGCGTAACAACGAGAAACCCGTTGCCCGGCGTGTAGCAGGAAGAACCGGAAACCGGGAAACCCGGCGTAATGACGAGAAACCCGTCACCCGGCGTGTAGCAGGAAGAGACCGGAAACCGGGAAACCCGGCGTAACAACGAGAAACCCGTTGCCCGGCGTGTAGCAGGAAGAGACCGGAAACCGGGAAACCCGGCGTAACAACGAGAAACCCGTTGCCCGGCGTGTAGCAGGAAGAGACCGGAAACCGGGAAACCCGGCGTAACAACGAGAAACCCGTTGCCCGATACTAAAGGTAGGAGGCCAGAAACCGGGAAACCCGGCGTAACAACGAGAAGCCCGTTGCCTGGCTAGGAGGTCCGGAACAGGACTGGTGCCGGCTCATCCGTCGAGCCGGCTTATATACCCTGCCGGCGGTTCCCCCACTCTACCTCGAGGCTGTGGTGGGGGTAACGCCGGCGTCGTAGTGGGGCGCCTCTGGGGGTTGTAGTGGGGCGCCCCTGGGGTAGGGTGACCCGTGTATCAGTTATGATTTTGTGCTTAGGGGCGCCTTAGGCGCCATAGCCTCAAGTGGCGGGCGGGTGATCGGCCCGCGAGGCGTTAGTAACGGCTACGCCGTTACAATTGCATGATCAAAAAACTTGAATATAGACTTGATATGTCCATTTCTAGCCATAATAATACTTTATTATCAAGTTGCATAGCAATATTAGACTGATCAAATATCAAAATCTTTTCTGGTGAAATAACTAAGACCAAAATAAATGAAATACGGATATCAATAATATCAATATCAGACGTAGCAATGCCAGAAAGTGATAGCATTCGGCAGCAATAACGCTAGAATGGATACGCTTAGTAATGATAATGTCTGCGCTAGAAATATCCGACCGACACTCTCCACTATTACGTCTGATATTGATATTATTGATATTCGTGTATTTCATTCATTTAGTTATTTCACCAGAAAAGATTTTGATTTTTGATCAGTCCGATATTGCTACGCAACTTGATAATAAAGTATTATTATGGCTTACAGACATCTAATCCATCGAATCCATTGTTATGTTTGCGATCGTGCTTTTCAAGTTCGACAAATTGTTCGAATCAATGGCGATAATAATGCAATTAAAAGACAAATTGCTGTTTTTAGGCGAACTGAACTTGGTCAGGAGCCCATTGATATAAACAATGAAAGCCGATTATGTTTTAATTGCAATGTATCTATTGCACATGAAATAAAACAGGTAGAACTTGATCCAACATGTCTACAACTCAACGTTTTTACTCAAACCAAAAATAATTCTTGTTTGTTAGAATGCAGGGTAAATGTCTTTGTTCTGAAAAATATTTATATTCCTAGAAACGTATATTGTTGTGATTAACATTTGGATAATCGCGGATTTATTTTAGAGTTACTGTTATTAGATTTGCAATTTATATACAGACCATATGTAATAAAAGGTCAGCAACTGCAAGTTTTCTTAGAGGCTCTTCGTAATGTGACAAATAATAATAATTGTTGAAAACGAAAATAGTTTTACAGAGAATGAATTTGAATGTATAACATCCATTACAAAACAACAATTTCAAGAATTGTATACATATTGCGATCCTATACCCTAACAACGTGGTATCAGAAACGTTACTAAAAAAGCTCTTTTAATTTTTTTCTGCAATAATTGTAAACAAAGAAGGGCTATAAGAACTATTAAACGTAATACAGTTGACAGTTGATATTAATAAACTTCATTTAAACCAAATAATAAATACACAAGAAATAAACATTTTGGGAACGTTTTGGCTGACATTTCAAGCTTTCTTTAGCGCAATAAAAATATTTTAATTATAAATTGAATTGTAATATTAAACATTAAAGACGGTTATTACCAATGTCAAGATAATACATATATAAAGTCAGCTTTAGATCTCGTTACATATGTTGCTAAACAAGTCATCGTGTATGACAACCACCATTACTGATACATACTGAGTTTGAGCGACCGTACCATGCAACCACTTATGAGTATAGACTTTCTGATTTACTGGTCAAGGGAGATCAAATATTTATAGCTTACGACACGGGAGATGCAGATAATATAAATGATGAGAGGGAGGCGATTTTCGGTTATTACTGTACCTGTAAGTCAGGCGCACGGACTTTGAGTACATGTGCACATATAGCCAGCGTATTGTGGTATTTAGGATGTGGCGATTACATCGTCATATACTTCCCAAATATTATCGAACAAAAACACGTATACGAATACGGTCACACACACAAGCGAAAAGTACTGAGACATAAATAAATATAAATAAGAACATAACAGACGAGACAGATAGAGACGAAAGACGAGAAGCACAGAGACAAATATCAAGACGATTAAGAAACAAAGGAAGTAAACGAATAGAAAATTCTCGAAGCCTCTCGAAGCCTATCAAAGGTCGATTTTGAGGCAAAAGATAGAAAGAGCAATTTTACATGCAAGAGATTCCGTTATCGACAGTCACCGCGTACGGACATACATTATTAATCCGAGCGATTTAATATTCATGTATCGACTTTAAAAGACTGTGCTTTCTTGAAGAATATACTTTCATTTAATTGCAATTAATGCCTCTCATCATTTAATTCCCGACTCGCACCGAACCGATTAAGTAATCGCGCCGCGAAAGACTAAAGTGGTGACGTCCCGACGTGATCGCGAACAAACGGGAATTCGCGATTTTGTGTTCGCGTGAGAGAGCAGTTCATTATTTTTTACATTTTTAACTTGTGAGACGATACCTTCGATTGGACCCGGGAGTGAGAGTAATCAGCTGTGAGTGCAAAACGATTTGGCATGATTGTGACGCGGGACGACGGAGTGGTCGGTTCATGCGTGGAGACAGAGGCGCGGGCGTTCGAGCAGCCGCGTGTGCAAGTGCAGCAGGCGGCCCTCATTGCGATACAAGCCGCCGGAATCACGGTCGACGCGACGAAGTTCGGATACGCGTTAACATCTATTGGGCCGAATTACACTGCCGAGGTGCGAGATATCATTATGAATCCGCCTGCGGAGCACGCGTATGAGACGCTGAAGACAGAGTTAGTCAAGCGTCTGAGCTTGTCACAGGAGCATAAGACCTGGAGGCTCCTGGAACACGAGGAGATTGGAGACCGCAAGCCGTCGCAATTTTTGCGACACCTCCGCGGCCTTGCCGGAAACGTGGTTGGCGACCCCGTCTTGCGGACGATCTGATTGAGCTGATTGCCAGCATATATTCAGCCGCCAGCATATATTTGGTGACGCGTACGACGGATACGATTGAACAACTGACAGATATCGCGGATGCGATTGTCGAGGCGACCCGAGCACCGGCCTTTTAAGTGGCCGAGGCAGCAAAATTCGTGCTACCGCAGACGCAATGCGCGAGCGATCCCGGGGCCTTGGAAGCTAGATTGGAGGTGCAACTGGCCCAGATGCGGCTGGCCATGCAACAGGAGATGGCGGAGCAGCTGACGGCCATCCGGAAGTCGATCGAGGCGATCGGTGACGGTCGATACCGAGAAGATGATCGACGTCGTTCGCGCCCTCGTTCGCGTTCGCGTTCGCGCCCGCGAGCGCGATCCAGCAGCCATGGTCTACCGGCCAGCGGCGTATGCTGGTACCACTGGCAATTCGGAGTGGAAGCACGACAGTGCAGAGCATCCTGCTCCATGCAACAGCAGGGAAACGCAGGAGCCGGTTGTTAGAGGCGGCGAGCGACCCGGGACACAATGCGCACCGTTTATTTGTGACTGACGCAAACACAAAGATATAATTTTTAATTGACACGGGCGCGGATCTCTGCGTGTTTCCTCGGAAGATGGTTCGAGGTCTACGACAGAGATCGACCTATGAACTTTTGGCCGCCAACGGCACACCAATTTTTACTTATGAAACGGAAAACATGACGCTGAATTTCGGGTTGAGACAGGCGTTCGCATGGAGATTTGTGATCGCGGATGTTTCAAGACCAATAATCGGCGCCGATTTTCTTGCGCATTATGGCCTACTTGTGGATTTGCGCAATTCTCGCCTCGTCGACCAGCTGACGAGCTTAACCACACGTGGGCGTTGTGTCCAATGCGACGTGCCCCAGGTAAAAACAATCACGGGGAAGACACCATATCACCGGTTGTTGAAAGAATACGCGGACATAACGAAGCCGGGAGGACAAATAAAAAAAAGTAATTCACGCCACGCGACACGTTATCGAGACGACGCCGGGACCGCCTGTCACGTGCAGACCACGGAGACTCGCTCCGGATCGACTTGCAGCCGCGAAGAAGAAGTTCCGACGAATGGTAAAAGCCGGAATCGCGCGACCTTCCAAGAGCAGTTGGTCGGCGCCTTTACATATGGTGCCGAAAAAGGGCGAAGAGTGGCGACCTTGCGGCGATTATAGAGCGCTGAACGCGAGAACGATCCCGGATCGATATCCTGTGCGTCATATACAGGACTTTGCACAGGCTCTCGGAGGAAAAGAAATATTTACGACAATAGATCTGGTGCGGGCGTATCACCAGATTCCAGTGGCGGAGGAGCACATCCCGAAGACGGCGATCACCACACCGTTTGGCATATACGAATTTCCGTACATGTCATTTGGATTGAGAAACGCGGCGCAGACGTTCCAGCGATTCATTGACGAGGTTTTACGCGGCTTAGTTTTGCTACGCGTACGTCGACGACATCCTGGTCGCATCGGCATCGGAGGAAAAGCATCGAGATTATCTGAGAACAGTGTTCAAGCGTCTACGAGAATACGGGGTGACTATCAACCCCGCGAAGTGCGTGTTCGGGCAGGGGAAGGTGGAGTTCCTCGGATACGAGGTTTCCGACGGGGGACGCGACCGCTGCCGGCGCGTGTGGAGAGCCAGGAACGGCAAAGGAGCTGCGAAGATACTTAGGCATGCTCAATTTTTACAGACGATTCCTACCGAGAGCCGCCGAGATGTTAGCGCCGCTTAACGACCTCCTCCACGGCAACATCAAGGGAAGAGCAACGATATCGTGGACGCCGCGAGCGCGGAAGGCATTTGAGGAATCAAAGGAGAGTCTGGCGCAGGCCGCGCTCTTGCGACACCCCAGGATAGACGCAGAGCTCGCCCTGTTCACTGACGCGTCGGAGCAGAGCATCGGCGCGACTTTGCAACAGCGAGGCAGCGACGGATGGGAGTCGTTAGCCTTCTTCTCGAAGAAGCTAAGCCCAGCCAAGTAAAGTACAGCGCGTTCGACAGGGAACTGCTGGCTATCTACCTGGCGGTCAAGCACTTCCGATATATGCTGGAGGCGCGCGCGTTCGTGATTTACACAGATCACAAGCCGCTGATCTACGCCTTCCGACAGAGACCGGAGAAGAGCACGCCGCGCCAGTTTTGCCACTTGAACTTCATCGGGCAGTTTTCCACCGACATTCGGCACGTGACGGGCGAGGAGAACATCGTGGCGAATGCATTATCTCGAGTCGAGGAGCTTTATTCTCCCTTGGACTACGCTGCACTGGCGAAGTCGCAGGGGACAGACGAGGAGCTCGACGACTACGCACGGCGGGAGACCGGATTGAAGCTTGAGAAAGTGCAGATTCCCGGAACGGGATACAAGTATATTGCGACACCGCGGCAGTTCCTGACAAGGCCCTTTCGGCGGGCCGCATTCAACCTGGTGCACAATCTGGCACACCCGGGAATCAAGGCGACGGGCAGACTCGTGGCGCAGCGCTACGTATGGCCGTCGATGAACGCGGACTGCCGCAGCTGGGCACGTGCATGCGTGCCCTGTCAGCAATCGAAGATCTTTCGGCACGTCTCGGCGCCCTTGGGAAGATTTGCTGTTCCGTCCAGCAGATTTGAGCACGTCCACCTGGACATCATCGTGATGCCCGTCTCGGAGAGCATGCGATATTGCCTCACGTGCGTGGACCGCTTCACACGGTAGTCGGAGGCGTTCGCACTACGAGATTAGAAGGCGGAGACGGTCGCAAGGTCGTTTTACAAAGAATGGATCTGCCGATTCGGGGCGCCCGTACGAATAACGACGGACCAGGGGCGTCAGTTCGAGTCCAATCTTTTTCGGCGACTGAGCGAGCTGACAGGAGTGCAGCACTTGAGGACGACGGAGTACGGTCGAACGGTTCCATCGCCAGCTCAAGGCGGCAATCAAATGTCGGCAGAGTGATCGCTGGACGGAGGTGCTGCCGACGGTGCTGCTCGGGATCCGAGCAGCGTGGAGAGACGACCTGCAGGCGACCGCAGCGGAGCTGGTGTACGGCCAGACGCTGAGGATCTCAGGGCAATTTCTGAGCCGACGGCCTGCGGACAACAAGGACGACGCTGCCGGCTTCGTGAGGACGCTGCGGGAGCAATTCGAGAAGCTGCGACCGGTGGACGGAACCCGACACGGGGAACAACGGCCGTTTGTCTACCGGGACCTGGCGACGGCCGAACAGGTGTTCGTGCGACACGACGGGCCGAGGACGATGCTGCAGGCGCCGTATGAGACCATACGCGATCGTCAGCCGCAACGAAAAGATCTTTGTCGTGCGCATGCACGGCAAAGAGAAAACGGTCTCGATAAACCGGCTTAAACCCGCTTATATTTTGCAGCCCGAAGCAAAGAGCAGCAGCTCGGCAGAGTCGGCGACACGGAGCTGAGAAGGTGCGGTCGACGGACGGAGAACGCGCGACGACACGAAAGTGCCGCGCCGAGAGGACAAGACGACGACGAGAGCGGGAAGAAAGGTCCGATTCCCGAATCAATTCCAGGTGGGCCTGTGACACCAGGGAACCAGGACGTAGATCGTGAAGCCCCTTAGGAATCGCCGCGAATATATAAAAAAAAGAATTAAATATACGGTTCGCGATTTTTTTAATTCTTGATTTTGTTCTCGACGAATTTGTATGTATATAGTAGGACAGACATGAGCCGCGGAACGCGAAAAGAAAAAAAAACGAATTCGACACATCAGAAATCTGTATATATACAGGATGAGGCAATAACTAATAGGACCTTAAATATCTTCGAATCTATGAGGCCCAGAGGAAGATTTGTGTAACAAAATTGCACGGTACGAAGGGGGCTATCATATGGCAATAATAATTTTTGTCCAGGTGAAGGCGCTTCGGAGATACCAAGGTCATCTTTATTTTTTTAAATGGATTCAATATGTTTTTTTTCTATAATATGATAGAGGAACTCGAAACAAGTTCAGAACTCACGACATAAGATCATTGAACAAGATTTAAGTAAAGAAAATCGATAGAAATACATTTTTATATTAAATAAAATTCACGTTTTACAAAAGATATTCGAACGGATACATCGTGTATGATTGACTGACTTTTATTTTAATTTTATTTCAACCCATTTTCATGTCTAGTTTATCCTGAGTACTTGCTCAGATGCTTTTCAGCAGTGATCTTACAAAAGATGTTCGAAGTGATGGCCATTATTATCGATGCAAGACTAGATTCTCCGATTATTGATTGAGTTATCTTTTAATAACGTTTGGAGTTATTAATGTACAGGCTGTAATAATCTGTTGTTGCATGGCTTGAGGTGTAGTTGGTTCTTCTTTGTAGACCATGTCCTTTAGGGTTCCCTAAAAAGAAATCTACTGGTGTCAAATCTGTGATTTGTCTTTCGAGGAGCACGTAAACTTATGCACGAGTCGTGCTTACAAGACGCTGTGGATTTATAATGAGAGCATGTAAATTATTTTTAAATATTAACACGGTGCGGCTATGTTTTGTGCGCTGGTTCGGCCGAATCTGGAATATGCATCGGTTTCTGTGGGCTCCATATCAGCAAAATCTTTGTGTCCGGATTGAAAGAGTCCAAACAGATTTCTTCGTAATCAGTTTTATACCGTTCGAATCTTACTCTGATCATACATATGATATCATTTTTAATAAATTAGATTAATTACATTGAAGATAGAAGAACTTTATTATTTATGTCTTAATAATTAATTAATGGGCGATTAATTTGTCCGGAGTTACTGGCGATCACTTCATGTTCCAGCTATCTCTAGAAATAACGCGATTTTCTGTCGATTGTACCGACATTTATACGGTAAAAATAAACCGCTAAATAGATTGTGTAATTAGCAAATTCATATGCGAATCGGTGCGATTTCTTTCATTTTCTGAAATAGTTTTAGGCATTCTTATTGGCGCATAGTTCAGGTTGAAATGATTCAAATAGAATTTTCAAAATTTGGATGCGTGCATGCGTTTGATTTCTGATCGTATTCTAACCTTAATATTGATTTTCTTAGTCGTATTTTCCGCATATTTAATCTATTTTTCGTTTTGTTTTATTTCTTTTAATCTTTATATATTTCATATGTTATTGTATTTTCTTTTTTTTTTATTTTTCTTTATAAACTATTGTTTGTCTAGAGGGAATTTTCCGTTTACATGATAAATAATAAATAAATATAAAGATTTTTGTGGAGGATTTTTAGGTTGACGGAGCTTTTCAAGGTCATTCAAAATTCAAAAAATATTACTAGCTAATAGATTTAGTAAAACCCTATTATTTTGTTGTTTAAACATTGAGATTTGACTATTTGGAAACCCGAATGTTCAGTGTTTGACTGGTTATAACTCGATAACTGTCCATTATTGAACTTTGTGTCTATTACATTTTTGGTTCAGTAGGTCATAAGCTACAACATATGAAAAAACCAACTGATTATACCGGAGACATTTCCATGATTAGTGCGGGGTTCCTTCATTTAAAAAATTTAGAACTAAGCATAAACATTTTACGCGACAAATAGGTGTTCCTCTTAATCTCATTTTTTTAAAATTAACCGTAGATTATTTATTTTATTACAACAAATGGAAAAACAAAATTGATTTTTAAGAAAAAAACTTCACAATATTGAATTTGAAATGTCATCCTTATTTTGGTCTTCGTTCAATTGCGACATTAGCGATAAATCAATCGGGTCAATCTTACCAAAATCTTCCAGATCTTTCATCGCGTCGCTAGCTTTATCGGATTACAATCCAGTTTATCGTCATCGGATTTGTCTCTGTCTGTTGTTTTCAGATCATTTTCGCGCTTCGATTAATTCAGCAACGTTCTCAAAAGCTTTTGTATTTCTTCGAGCCTTTCGTGATATTTCATTGCCTTCGTTAAAACAGACTCTGAATTTTAAAGGCATCCGTGTAAGTCTCGAATGTACTTTAGTTCACTCAAATCTCTCCATGGTTTGAACAGAGCAGCGAGTAAAAAGTATTTTTCGGGCTCAGTTTTTTATATTAAATCGATAATGGTATAATTAATAACCCTTTTTCGTTTTTAAAATAGTTCCGATGCTAGAAATATCGGACTTCTGCTTATTTGGCATCTGTTTCGTAATTTCCCAGAATCTGGCAAAATCGTACAAATTCAATGATTCTAATTCTGAGTCTATTTGGATGAAGTAATCATCGATGAGTGACGAACAGTAAATATTCGTAGAATTTTCATCGAGAGCTTTAATTCATTAAATGTTTTAACTTTTCTATTTCACCTCATTAACATCGATCCATTTGACCATGGTATCAATATCCGTACCGTACAAGGATTCCTTAATAGTGTGTCATCCGCAGCTTCTAAAGCACGTATTCTGGTTAAAATGAACGCATTGCAAAATTCCACAGTTTGATGCCAAGGACTTATTCGAATCTATCACTTCAAAGTCTGTATTGCATTTTCCGACTTTGTCGTGTATTTTGTTAAATATGAGTTTAAAACTCTGATTTTTCTCAATAAATTGTA